GCTTTTATCGCATATGATTTGAAAATAAGAGCCTAGCAGATTCCTGGACACAAGAAAGGTTTCTGTAAGATTTAAAACGTTTGATATAGTTTTAAATAAATTCTGTTCTAAGGCTGTGAGGTTTCTGTGAACTGTAGTGCACTCCAGGACAGGTTTCATTTGAGACTGAGCCCCAGAGCATGCAAATAAACAGAAACAAACATGAGAAAATGTGAACACAGAGAGAAGGACAAATAAAAATGTGAAAGGACAGATGGGTTTATGCATGGCAGGAGTAAACAGTGAGAAGATGGATGGATGGAGTCTAGGTGGAGGATGGATAAATGGATTGACAAACAGACTGCTTGATGTACAGACAGACAAACAGTAATAACTTAAGGGAACAGCTATAAATGGATGTCCAAGGTGATGGCATGACCTCGTCTGTCGGATGAATCAATAAAGCAACCAGTCAGCCAATCATCACATTCAAAAGCTCATCTGATCAAACATCAAAAAGACTCTTCAAAGGTATTCACAGTGTGTGAAACCACAAGCAGACCATAATCACAAACAGTTAGGAAACAAACTTCTGACCAAAGTGAGGCTGCCACTGCAACCGCTGATTTTAAAAGCATGAAACATCCGTCATCGGTACAATCAATGGCATAAAGAAAACACCATCACATACCACCCTGAGGAAAACTGATTGGAGGTGGTTTTGAGTCCAAAATATAGAAGAGCCCCTCTTCCAAACAATACACACATAGCTCGAATAACTCTGATAGCATCGCACCAAAAAAGATCAAAGAACCACCTTCAGATGCTAAACTGAGCCCTAAACTTTTATGCAGGGTAAGAATGGTTCTTCAAACAGCCGAACCTTTATTTGTTCTCAGAAGGAAGAAAAGAGACATGAAAGAGAGAGGCGAAAGAAGAAGAAAGAAGAGAAGATGAGAGCAGACAAACATAGGTTAGTAGTCACATCAGAGGTAACACAGCCAGGTCCTAATGGTGACCTCTAACATCCCCACACACACAGACACACACACACAGGAACATGCATACACACTGCAGCATTACCAATCCAGCTTACAACACACACACACACACACACACACCCAGTGGGCCAAGACAGCTGCATGAAAAGCTCAACTCAGAAAAACTCTTTAGCAGCAGCCTGGCCTAAGGCTGTGTGAGTGTGTGCACACATTATTTTGTGTGCGAGTCTTAGTACAAGATGACATCATTCTGACTCCAGCTATGATCAAACTAATTTTGTCGTAGAAAAAAACCAACAAAAGCACAGCAAAGAAAAACACAAAGACACAGTTGTTTCGGGTCACTGTTGCTGACACTGTATGGACGTACACTTGTTCCCTTGAGGTTTACTCTAAACTCATTCTAACCCCCCGATGAGGACACAAACTATTTCAGCTCATGCAGAATGCGACTGCACCAAACTGGGGGCCGAGTTTGTGTTTTAGCTCAACAGCTGAAACCAAAAATGGTCTTCAACATCGAAAAAAAAGCATCACCACCCAGCAGTCGTTCCTGCTGTAACCCATGTCTTTCTCTGTCGGTCACCATCATCGCCAACGTCTTCTTCATCCGACCCACATTCATCACTGCACCTTTGTATCACCATCATCTTCACATCACCACAACCCCTTGCCCTCATCACCACACATTCATCACCACCACCGCAATCAACATCATCATCATCATCATCATCATCATCATCATCATCATCATCATCATTTCCTGACTTACCTGTGTGCATTGTCCCATACAGAGGAGGGGGAAGAGACAAAAACATCACATTGGAAGTGAACAGATGAGTAAGATAACAGAAACAGAAGAGAGATAGACCTCGAGGGGAAAATAGAGGAAGTTACAATGAAAGAAGGGAGCAAAATGTGTTCTGCAACCACAACGAAACATCGTTCAAAGCAGCGTCTTTACCAGGAGTTTAACCACCAATGGGAATTAAACCCCTGGTCTCTGCTGTGCTGGGAGAATAATTAACCCCCTGGGCCCTGTGCCACTCAGGTGAATTGCATTTTCTTATTTGGGGTCAAGGCGGGTTCAGACTTACAGCTCTGGGTTTGAATGGCGGCTGCACCTCTTTGTTCTCCAGTTTCTCCCAGTCCATGTAGCGGAAGAAGCTATGGTCCCTGATGTCTCTCTCGCCCTCTGGACCACAGCCCAGTCGCTTTGCTGGATGCTTCGTCATCAGCTGGACAAAAAGGCGGAAGAAGAAGAAGAATTACTTTGTGTCTCTCCTTCCTTTCTTCCCTCAATCTAACCTTTTCTGTCTCTTGGCACATTTGTCTCTTTATATTCTCATTTACATCACATCCTTTCTTTCATTGCTTCCTCCTTTTCTGTACGACCTCAATCATTCCTTCACCCCTGACCGCACACAAGCTCCGCTCAACTACATTTTAACACAATATTAGCAACAATAATCGAAGTTGCGTGAGTTTTTTTAGCTAGAATATAACATAATAAAAATAGTTAGCTAACTGAGGCTAAAAGGTTTTAATTATTACATTTTAATGTTGTATGGTGTATTGTTTTGTCACATTTACATAAGATAAGTTGTAGGCATCATCCTAAACTACAAGGCCAAGCCTGTATCTGATCTACACTCAAAAGTGTGCTGCTGCGATGCCCCAAATCTCCCCTCTGGCATTATTAAAGTTTTATGTCATTTATTCCTTTTTCTTTTTCTCTGTTTCTGCCTATGATTCCTTCTTTCATTCATCCCTGTTTCTAAATAAATGCCATTACTATTAGTATAATTGCTTCAATGTCATTTGTTTTCTTTCATTCCTTTTAACTATCTATCAATTCTACTATCTATCATCTTAGATGTCCCTCCCCGAGGACCAAACATAAGCCACCAAACCAAGGCCTGCAGATAAATGAATAACTGTTGTTTTTCCCTCTTTTACCAGAGCAGTTTTTCCGCAGGCGTAATTAAGCACCGTTTACGATGTCTGTCCACACAAAACCTTAAGAACAGAATCAAGGCTAGTGACGTCAGTGTGAGTGTGTGTGTGTGTGGGTGGGGTGTGCCCCCCTCAGGAGCAGCAGTCATAACTCATTACATTAGAACTAAAATAACATTTTCCACGGGTCAGTCAACCTTACACTGTGCACACACACACACACGCATGTATGTGTGCATATAAACAAGCTAGCTGTTCAGAGATAACTGCATGAGCACACACATACACACACGCTTGTTTGCTCATCCATCCATACTGATGCTTAAATTAACCGGCATCCTCAGATTTTTATCTTTGCACATTGCAAATATCATTATATGTCACACAGCCAACTTGCAGTTTCTCCGGCATATTCCTGTACAGCTCTTCACTTATTGAAGTATCTGGCCATATTGTACATTCTTTTTATATTTGTATATATTGGCTCCTTTTATTGTCTTCTATTTTTAATTGTTATGCACCAACTTACCAAAGCAAATCCCTTGTATGTAAATACCTACTTGGCAATTAACCTGATTCTGATTCTGAAAGTCAATGGCTAAGTTAAGAAAAACTTTTTTATGAAAGTATTTCCTCTCTTTCTTTGTATCCATTCCATATCCTCTCACTCTACCTTTAGCACCTCTCTTGCCGTCTATATTGATGTTTTTCTTTCTCTTTTTGCTGGACTATAGCTAAGAAAGTCAGTGTTCCCTACTGACTGACTGTCTGGCACACATTGTTGAAATGTGGCGACCCAGTTGGGCACACTTTAAAACCACACCGGTGATGCTACAGTATATTTTGATATCACTGTAGCAACTTTATTTTACAAGAGTATAGCAACATATCTGATGACGTTTTGGGCAGACAGTCACAGCAGCTATTTTCTTTTGAGGAGAGTCTAAATCAGCAGGTTTCCTCGCTGTGGCTCTGCATTCATTCAGTGAGGGAGAACAGGAAATTGAGTAGACCACAGAGCAGCCAGACTGAAACAGGGCACTAATTGCAGGAAATAATGGCATATGTGAAAACGGCATGGTTTACTTTTTCTGGTCACCCAGCACTGAGGGGCTGCATTCACCATCTGGCAAAACTGTGTTTTGTACCTAGTTCCAATACAATCATGGTATTTCTGTTACTTTCTGGGCTTAAGTCCCACCTTTCTATTTTCATAGAATTATGTCATAATTTCAATGATGGGTGATTTAATCGTTTTCAAAATTATCAAACAGGTGGCAGGAAATAAAAATGGTGATATTAGTAAGTTTGTGGTTCCAAAAGAAGCTGCTTGCACCAAGATATGTGGAGCTGTGAAGCTGGAGTTTTTGTGTTTATGCAGATCAGGTGGTGAAACACAATTTTAGGCCCCTTATTGGCAGAGTGCATTTCCACCTCTTATGCAAAGATGTTTGTTGCTTGAATTATTACCAATATTGTCATCTGTTTGTAGAATCAATTTAGTTAATTAAATACCTGCAGCCATTATAGAACAGAAGGAATACTGTAATTCCCTTCCAACAATGATGTGTTTCATCTGCAGTCTCTACTTTCAGGGATGTGCTTTGTGTAGTCATGCAGGGCCAAACAGCACATATACATGGAGAATCCAACAAAATAAGTGCACATCCTCTTCTGTTTATTGTTCATGGGGTGTGTTGCAACAGCTCTGCCATGAAAACATAGTCTTGCTTCCTGCATTGCTCAAAGCAACAGGGCATAGCATTGGGAAAAGGCTGTGTGTGTGTGTGTGTGTGTGTGTATGCCTTCGCATGTGTAAGGACATATTTGCACAATTACTCTTTGCTGTAGAATCATGTGAAGTTGAAGACATCATGTACCTAACACTACAGCACACAGGATATTCTGTATGCAGCTTAAACGTGTGTGTGTGTGTGGCCGATTGCTGGCTATGAAATATGGATGCTGGTCAGGGTGGAAGCAGGGGAGTGGAAATGTCTGATCACTCCCTTTTTCACACATGTACACACACACACACACACAAACCACGAGCCTGCACACTGTAGGCTATTTTGAACTCAGAACTATACAGTAAGCTGGCAGGAATTAAACTCCTTCTAGTCCTGATTTTACTAAAGGAAATACGCACCTTAAAGGTTCCAAATGTACGATTCTGAAGCCTTTTTTATATTATTTTTATGTATTCGCCACTTTTTATCACCAATATGTGAACAGGCTGTAACATAACTTTAAGAACCCTTGCCCGACTTTCTTGGTAGCCTGTGGAATGTTTTATACTCGTTTCTATGTAGGGATTTCCATTAAATTCCAAGGATGTGACTTTTATACAGTTATACAGAGTGCCTTCTGTCTCGGCTTCACTACAGTGTCAACAGTATGCAACAGATACCGCCACAACACAGTCCAAAGTCAAAGCCAACATTTATGGAGCCATTATTGTAGCAAAACTATTTACAAATGTGCATGGAGAGTTGTGCAACTGTATCTCAATCTGTGTGTGCGTAATCAGATTCAGGAATCAATGCTTAACACACATTGGCAGATTCCTGTACACATTCACAAATATAAGTACATATTTACAGATTCTTTTACACATTTACAAATCTGATACACATGGATTAGGATACATTAGACAACTCTCCACGCACATTTGTAA